CCAAAAAAAAAAAAAAAAAAAAAAATTTCATTTTGAAATCATTTCAGAGTTGCAAAGTTCATACAAAGAATTCCCATGTACCCCTCACCCTGCTCCCTGAACGTTAACATCTTTCATAGCCATGGTACAGTTATCAAAACCAAGAGATCAACGTCCATACAAACTAGTAACCACTCTCTAGACTTTACTGAAATTTTGCACACTGTCCCCCTAACATTCTTTTTCTGATCTGGAGTCCAATCCAGGATATTTAGGTTGTTCCAACCCATCCCCTCTGGCTGGGCATCTCTGCTGTGCCAAGTCTTTGTTAGTCCGGCAGCACAGCAGGGAGAAAGGAGAGAATCAACAGCTCCCACCAGCTCTCACCCCTCCTCCGGGTGTTTGGTACCTCTCACTTGCCTGTTCTTGGTGCGCCTTCCCCAGATTCTCACACGGCCTTTCCCTTACTTCTTGGAAATGTCACCTCCTCAAAGAGGCCTTCCATGACTGACTACCAGATCTAGAATAACAGCTCCTGTCCTCATTCTCTGTCCTTTTGCCTTGTTTATTTCGTCATCTTCACTTCACAGTATGTTTATTGTCCTGTCTGCCCCACTAGAATATAAGCTTCAAGAAGGCAGGGACTCTGCCTTACTCACTGTGTGCCCAGAGCAGGCTAATAGCAAGGCCTCACTAAATATTGTGGAATGAGTGAAAGTAGGAAGTGGCCGAAATGGGTTTAAAAATAAAAACAGGGCCTATGAAAAAACAGACATAAAGACACATAAAGGATGGCAAGGGGCTTCCCTGGTGGCACAGTGGTTAAGAATCCACCTGCCAATGCGGGGACACAGGTTTGAACCCTGGTCTGAGAAGATCCCACATGCCGCAGAGCAACTAAGCCCGTGCGCCACAACTACTGAGCCTGAGCGCCACAACTAGAGAAGCCACCGCAATGAGAAGCCCACGTACTGCAACAAAGAGTAGCCCCTGCTCACCGCAACTAAAAGAAAGCCCACGTGCAGCAACGAGACCCCAACGCAGCCAGAAATAAATTAATTAATTAATTTTTTAAAAAAAGGATGGCAAAACCCCTCCACAGTGCGTCGTCTAGATTCCCAATTGATACAAGGGCATGGGCACACAGAGCCGGGACAGCCATGATTCACCTTCAGCTAAATTGTTTCGACCAAATTGTCATGGAAACATGCTTGGTTTCGATCAAATTGTTTGCAGACAGATCAGCTTGCTCTTCCCAAAGGGGCCTGAAGAGCGCCTGCCCCTGCTGCCTCCCTGACACAGGCACAGTAAGCCTCTGTAGGGATTTAGGGCCCTTCGTCCACATCCCCACCTCAACTTTTCTGTCTCAGGCTTAATCAGCCAGAACCCGCCCCCCTTTTCTGACTGCCTTGCTGTGTAATCCTGAGCACTGACCGACCCCACCCACACCCCAGCCTCAGTAGCCTTCCCGAGAGCGGAGGGCGTGAGACCACTCCTGCTCATGCTCTGCAGGGCCCAGTGTAAAATGGAATTTGGAGCCTGTTGCTCAAAAGGCAGGAAAGAGGTGCCACGTAAGGTACTAAAATATAAAGCCTTTCCTTTCTTCTATGATCTCTCTCTTGACTTGCCGTGATGTTTTTAATTTGCTACTTAATGTCATTCTGAGTAGAGGAGTACTTAAAATCTTAATTATTAGCATGAATTATGCCATTCATTATATATCATGCAGTGCCACTTTTAAATGCAAATATAAGAACATTTAACTCATATGTGGCATCACCGAAACTACGTAACTCACGTTTCTTAGCTTGTTCGTGGATATGTGTTACGTTCTGACCAGAACGGTGGAAATGTGGCACCGAACTAACTCAGCTGTTTTTATTTCACTTCTTGATACGTGCACATTCTACCGGCTCTCTCTGCTTTCAGCTTACTGATGAGCAGGTAGGGCTGGAAGGAGGAGGACGATTGGTTGC